AGTTTAAATAAATAAATAAGAGCCCGGTGGAAACTATGCGTCGTCGCAAGAAGTAGCAATGGCCACGTGGCTGCTAGTATCGTGGCTTCATATGCAGAAGAGGGCAGGGTGGCCCGTGGCCATTGGCCCCAAATGGAAGGCACCGAGGCAAGTCGGCCTTGGGGTCGTCGGGGGCCGTGGAGGAGCCAAGAAGAGGCATTGCTTCCGTGTCCAGCCTCAGGCTTTGCCGGAAACGCCTCGGCCGCTCCAGGAGAGAGGATGGGGGGACACCGTGAATTCTGGTCCGGTCCAGAAGAGCTGATCTTCCTCCTGATCCAGAGGATCAGCACCATCTCGGGTGCCTTCCTGGCTCCACAGCGTGTCCCAATTCTGCCATGCCCAGCCCAATGGCGACCCTCAGGGAGGCGGCTGGCATTATGTGCCCTTTTGCCCTGCTAGGGTTATCAAGGCAAGCTGCAGAAATTCTGGCAGCCAGCTGGCAAAGTGCTCGATGCGCCCAGGACACTCCGCAGCCCCTGAACCAGCCACACCTCTCCCCCCCTGGCCATTGCGCACCTTCAGACTCCGGCAAGAAAAAGCCGGGGGGCGGGTTGGCCACAGAAGTAAAGGTTCTCCAGGGACACGGGGCCAACCAGCTTTTGGGCAAGAGAGGGTGGTTTGCAGCCGTTCTTTCTCCCTCTCTCTTTTTGGTGTGAAACCTGAGACAGTTGCTGCTGTTGGAGATGAGTTCTCTAAAAATACGCTCCCTTCGACACTCCCCCCCCCCCGGCCTGGGATAGGATTCCCATGAGTGAGCTGATCCTGTGGGTTGCTGAAATCAGGTAAGGCACCCGGTTCGCAGCAATGAAGTGCCAGCCTGGCCTCTGGACGAAGACTGGACAGCACGTGGCCCCTCCAAGCAGTGGGAGGAGCAGAGCTGGAAGTGGGCATTCAGGAACGGGGGCTGGTTTCCATCCGTCTTGGAACCCTGTGCCAGGGAAGAACTGCTGGCAGGCATCTCCCTGGCCTGGCGGGGGCGTGGACGTCCCTCTCGCCCGCTCACCTGCACTTCAGCTGCTCACAGGCTGACAAGCTTCTTCTAATGTATCTCTCCCTGCCCCTCCCCGAAGGGCTAGATTTCCACCTTCTCAGCAGTCGAATTTGGTTGTGCAGACGAGGCAATTCATCTGCCAGGAAGACGTTCCTGCTGCCAGGCTGAGCCAGTCCAAAGCCTGAATACATGGAGCCATGAACACTGTCTGAGCATGAGCTGAGTGTCAGCCTCTCTCAGGGACTCTAGACCTCTGCCAGGCTGAACACCTGGGTGAGGTTGCCGGGGGCGGGTCGGCGGGTGGGGGGAGAGGTGGGATATAACTGGTCCCATCCACATGAGCTGGGGCAGATGGGCTGTGTTGGACTCCGGGAGTGGAAAACAGTACAAGTCAGCCGTTCCCCTTCCCAAACCACTGGGGCTGCTCACCCTTCTTTTTGCCCCGGGACCACATTTTGCTCATTCCTGTCCACCTCAGCAAAGCATCTAGATCCAGACCTCCCTTCTCTGGGGACTCCGTTCTGGAAGCCCCTCTGCTTGGGGCCGGAGCGTGTGCGTTTCTTCTTCCTGAAAAAGGGAGGATGGCTTGAGGACGCACCCCCAGAAAGCAGACTTCCCCGTTTCTGACCGGGAACGGACGTCTTGTGCTTGGAAGCCCTCCATCCTTGGGTGAAAGGGGCCACCCGGAGCCCAGGACCTGCCTGCAGAAACGCTCTTTCTGTTCCACTCTCGGTCTGTGCAGGGTGCCAAGACTGCCAAGACATTTTGGTGCCCCCAGACAGAGATGCCAAGCAGCCCTTCCAGAATTCCCCCAAGAGGCCATGGGCCGGGTCCCCCCTCCAGAGTGGCTCCCCTGGCCCTGGGCCAGCCTGTCCTGGGCACATTGGGGCCAGCTCTGTCCCTGCGGGTCACGTGGACAGGGGCCTTGTGGCTGGGGGTGGTGGGAGTCGCAGCCAAACGCAAGGGGGGACCCAGGCTAAGAAGGAAGGCCCCTTTCGGTTCTTCCTCGTCTTTAGAAACTGAAGGCAGGATCTTCTTTACCTCGAAAACATCCCAGGAGGGACCCTGTGGCTTTGAAGGCTCCTTCCTTCCTATCTGAACCTCCCGGCTGCTGCCGCCCGGCTTTTCAGCAGCGCCCCTCATTTCAATGCTGAGAAAGCCTGCCAGAAATTTACTGTTGGTCCTGCCTCCCCCCAAGACCCGCCCAGCCCAAGGGCAAATGAAGGGGCAGCCCTTTGCGCCCAGTCAGGCTGTGGGACGGGAGGCAGGCATGGGGCAGGAGGTGTGTGGAGAGGCAGAGATCAGATTCCCATAAATCATTCCGAAGAGACAGCTGTTGCAGGACAGAAGCTTCTGCCCTCCTCCTTGCCTAGAGAAAGGGGGCTGGGAATGGGGAACCCGATCCCACTCGGCCTGCCCTGGGTGCTGGGGCAGGCCCAGGCCTGTGGGAGCCGCCTGTGGAAGTCCTGACCCTTTTGGAGGGGGCAACAGGAAAGTGTATTTCTAACTGTGGCCCCAGAGAACATTCACCGTGGAGGTTAAATCCAGGTCCCTGGATTTCTGGGAGGTGCCCTGGAAGGCCTGGAGGAAAAGACTTCTCTGAGTTTGTGCAGAGTGCTGTGGAGCCAGTCTGGGTCCTTGCCTGCAGCTGGTGGTGATGGAGTTTCCCGGGTGTTGGACTACAGCCCCATTGCCACAGCCACTGCAGTTAAGAAATGGTAGGCCACGGCAGCTACGGTGCAGTGCCTGGCTGCCACAATCGCCCTTCCTGTGGCCAGTCCCTCTCCTTCCTCACAGCTTCCCACGTTCAGCGAGGAGGTCGGTCGGAAAGCACCTTACGGCAGAGATGTGACTGGCCCCGCTATGGCAAAGGCTGTGGCGCTTGGCGCTTGATAGCAGAGCTGGAGTGCCAGTGGGCGGTGGGGACGGGCTCGCAGGGGCATCACTGGTCTTGCGGTTCCCTCTTGCATCTCAGGGCCGCTCTCCCACGCAGACAGGCCTGGCCTGCGCTGCTGCCTCATGGTCAGCTTGGCATCCAGAACCAGTGGGGCCTTTCGTGGCAAGAGGAGGAGGCGTCCCTGCGTCCCAGCTCTGCCGCCCTGGGGGGATGCCAAGTGGGAAGAATGGCCTTGGTTCTTGCCTCGGAGTCAGGGGGTGGCACCTGCTGCCCGGGAAGAGGAGGTTGCCCCCTTGCTCAAGAACCTTCCCAGGTTTGGGCCACTGGGCCCCTCCATCCGTGCACAGCAGGGTCTGGCTGCAGGGAGAGGGGCTCAGCAGCCGGGAACAGATGCCCTTCTGGCGTTTACGGCAGACGTTCTTCCGCTGCAGCCGTTCACCCCAAACGGGTCTTCTGAGCTTGTGCAGAAGGCTTTTCCCTTGCCACTGACTGACTGCTGTTACTGGAGAGGCATCTGGGGTCAATGCCCCCAGTCCGACAATGCGGCTCCCCAGGGCTTGTACTTCTTACCTAACCTGAATACCCAGGGAGGGGGGTGCATTCCCTCCGAGCAGTGCCAGGGTTCCAGTTACCTCACCAGTTTTTTGCAGCTGCTGGGAGACATGCTGGGCGGGCCTGCACCTGTTCTAGGTGCCATGGAGGGGGGCACGGTTGAGCTCTTCCAGGCCAGAGCAGCTGAGGGTGTAGGAGGAATGTTCCTGGGGGCCGTAGGGGGGGACTGTGGAGAAAAAGCAGAGCTTTCTTTTCCCTGCGAATCAGGAAAGCAAAAGTTCCCTTTTAAATTCAGTTCTTCTCTTCCTGTGGGACCCCCGAGACGGAGGGCAGTTAAGGGGGCTTGCAGTCTCAGGAGCTCTGGCGGGCTCTTTCTCATCTGGAGACTGCTGGCCAAAGGATGCAGAAGCCAGGCCTCTTTTGCACCATCTGCCACCAACAGCTGGCACCCACTGCTGCAGGACGTGCTAAGGTCTTTAACGGATTTACAAGGGGCTCCTGGAAGATGCTCAGGACCGGCGGGAGCTCTCCTGGCCCCCAGAGCTGTGTGGCCTCTGCTGGTTCACAGGCAGTTCCTGGAAGGGAGGAGCAGTCGCCAGGAGGTCTTTCTGGAAGAGAAGCCGTTGGGCTGCAGAGGTCCTGTGGGGGCCGCTTGACGCTCTTTGCTTATCAAGCCAAAGCCTCCCACAAACACGCACCGCAGCAGCTTTCTGGAGCCAATTTCCTTTCACTTTGTAGCATTTCAAGCACCATGTTTCTGGATGTCAGTTCCAGGTGAACGTTAGAAAGGCTGGCACAGCTTGCGGGGAGAAAGAAATTGGCTTTTCTTAGGAGTCCTTTTCTCTCCTCTGCAGCCCCCGGGCTCCCCCACTCCTCACATTGAGGTCCTTGGCAAAACCTCCCAAAGTCTTGGGAAGCCTGGGCTCCCCTCCTCTCCCACAGACAATGGGGGACTGGCCTAGCCCCCTTTCTCCTACCTCCCTCTTTCTCAAGGGCGCCTCTAGCCTGGCTTAGCCCCTCACGTCAGCCACCAGCTTTGCTCTCTGCACACTCTTTGTCTCCTTTCTGGATAAGGGAGAGTCGAGGGCCTATGAAATGTGAAAAACACAGGATTCCTGCTCTGCTTGGACCCAGAACAAACTGCTTTCTCAAGGGTTCATCTGGCTCTGCTTAGAGACCTTTAAAGAGCCCCCCCCCCCACCTGGAGGCTTGCTTAGGAACTCTGCGGCACCGGCTTAGGTGAGGGAGGAGCGCTCGTCACATGCTCAGAGGCACTCCTACACACTCCACCTATTCCTGGCCGTGTCCTAGCGTTGGAAGAGAGGTTCCAGGGCTGTGCACGAGCCCGCGGCCGCCGCATCCAGAAAGGAAGCAATGCCTTTTGCAGGCGCCCAGCCTGGAAGACTCCCACCCGGAGTTCGAGTTGAGCTGAGGGTGTGGCGTCCAATCACAGCTGGGCTGCTGGCCAGTGCTCAGCCAATGGGGACGAGGGTCAGGGTATATATGCCGAAGCCCCCGGACTGGACTCTTGGGTCACCTGCTGTGCTGGAGTGAGACAAGGCACCCCTGGGAATCTGCAGGCTTTGCTTCCCCCGTCAGGTAACCCCCTTCTCTAGTCTGGATTTGCAGCGGGGGGAGGGAGGGGGAAGAACCAGGCAGCAACAGGTGGTGTACTTTTGCTAGCATTTTAGGGGGAAATTTAAACGATGGGTTTAACAAATGCGGCCATTAACGCAATACGCTCCATTGCTGGCTTGAATGGCACAGCAGAGAAGGCTCTTCTCAGTGTGTCATTCGGGATAGTCCTGAATGGTGACTGGGATTGCAGATCTTGCCGTGACCGTGTCGTCTCCCTGCTGTTTGGACGTCAAGGGTGGGCAAAGGGGGGCTGGAGACCAGGGTGCCTGGCAGACCCCCCTTTCCTTCTGCAGACGCTCTGCTCAGCATGCCCCCTCCTGCCTCGTGTCCGGCCTGGAGATGGGGTGCCAGGCCTCTCTCTTGGCTGCAGCGAGTGCTGACGCTTTGCAAAAGCAGCCTGTGGAATGCGGGCTTCGCGTGCAGCCAAGGTGCTCCTCTGGCCATCGGAGGCACTCAGGGCCCTTTTGTGGACAAAGCCAGCCGCTATAAATAAACTTGCTTCCTAGGGGCTGGTGGCTAAAATTATCCCCAGCTTCCTACTGACGAGAACTGGGTGGGAGTGGCAGAGCCTGCACCCTCCCCAGTACCCTATGATCTTGGCACCCAAGATGGTCTGCGCAGTTGCTGCCTTCTGGGACAGTTGACCTCTCCAGCGGCTGACCTTGGCGGTGACCCCACAGCTGCAGCCCGAAGAAGCGGCCCATGGTCTAAACCTGAGCGGTGCTGGGGATCAGGCACCTCTCCTCCCTCTGGGAAGCCCGTGCCTTTTGTCAGGAGAGTGAGGTGGGGGTAGGTGGCTGGCTGGCTTTTCCTGAGGGAGAACGGTGATATGCCTAGACGATCTCTAAGCTGGCCTGGGGAAGGGCTCCATCAGGCAGAGCCGGGCCACCAGGCTTTGCCGGCACAAACTCCTTGCTTCCTGCCCACGTTGTCCGGTGCTCGAGGGGGCTCAGCCCTGGACAACCTCAGATGGTGGCTGGTCCTTAAGCAGGTGGAACAACTGGGATGGCTTCACAGCTGGTGACAGAGCGAGACCCCGTCGTACAAGGATGGGTTACATGTTTGGTCGTATCTCGGAAGGGCTGGCACTCCAGTGAGGGCAGGGGCGTTCTGTCTGCTGTCATAGAGGGTGAGCCGACAGCTTATGTTGGGGAGATGGCCAGCTCTGGCCTCAAAGCCTCAGGTAGGGGTCTGAACCAGATGGTGTCTGAGACCACCCCCCAATGTTTCTGTTACTCAATAAAAAGCAATAGCTGATATCCCAAATGCCATCAGCAGAGTCTCTGCCAAATGCCAGCAAGTAAAGGCAGGTCTGCAAAAACATGGAATTTGGCAAAGCGTGAAGTTCTGATCCATTTTCTTTTTAAAATGTCCCCTTTCTCACTGAGCTTTAAATCTTCTCATCTGCTTGCAAGGTGAAGCTTACCCAATGAATTTTCCCACTCAAGACCTACATTTTACTCTGGTAGAGAAAACCTTTTAAGGCAAGGTTCCTAAGTACTTCTTCCCTTTCTTCTAAGCCCAGCAGCTCCCTCTGCTTTCAATGTGTCTTTTTCTGGGACTTTCCATAATTCCGTACCTCTTGATACATTTCCACAAGCCAATTTCATGTCAGATGAGGCTTTTCTAACTGCAAAGAAATTCCAGCACTGCTCTAGAACTGCTGCCACGGCCCCAAACACTTCACTCCTTTCTTCTGCTCTGCCTTGTAGGACTCACCCGTCAACCGCCACCATGCCTTTCGGAAACACCCACAACAAGTGTAAGTTGAACTACTCGGCGGAGGAGGAGTTCCCTGATCTTTCCGGTCACAATAACCACATGGCCAAGGCTCTCACCTTGGAAATATACAAGAAGCTGCGTGATAAGGAGACCTCCACCGGCTTCACCCTGGATGACACCATCCAGACAGGCGTTGACAACCCAGGTGGGCCTCCCTTGCTCCCGCTAGACAAAGAGAGGATGCTTTTTCTGAGCTGAGCTGGCGGCTGTGCGGTTTATCGGCAGCAGCCCTGAAGTGGGTTGCTGCTGGCTCTGCTCTCCAAGCGAAGCACAGACTGTGCCCGCTGGTCCCCCTCCTCTCCCGCAAGAGCCCAGCTCACACTCCCCTCTGGTGGCTGGCTGGCATAACAGGGAACCCGCTGGTTGCTGGTTGCCTTTGGGTGGCAGCAGAGGGCAGCAGCGAGGCCTTTCTGGCGCAGCTGCCCGCCCCCCCCATCCCCGGCTGCTCCAGGCGGGGGGAGAGGAGAGCTAAATGGTAGCATGTGAAAAAGTAAAATCCATTCTGAATGGTTCATTTAAGTCTTGTTATTCAGATGGATTCAAAAAGTTGATTACATCCAGACATTCGCGTTGTATCGCTGAATTGAATGAATTCCCTCTGGGTTTAGGAAAAGCCATTGCTGCGCTGAAAGCATTAGAAATGATCCAGAAGCTTCTGACTTGATTGAGCAGTTTGAATCAGCTTTCTGATGGCGTTCAGAAAGTTGATCTGACTTGGGAGCACGGTCACGTCACCTCTGGATCTCCGGAGGGAAAGCCTGCCCTGTATCCACCATTGTTGGCCTCCCATCGCCCCACTGCCGCTTCTGCCTTTTCCTTCTGCAAACCGTTGGGGGGGGGCTTTGACAGGGAGGGCTGGAAGCCTCTCCCCAGAAGCCCCCTCGCTTTCCAGGTGGCAGGACTGGAGGGAAACCCCCTTTCCCAGAGCGCACCAGGCATTCCGGAGAATGATCCATGGCACTCGTAGGGGGAATTGCATGTTTTTTCACACTGCTGTCATTGTTTTCCCTGTGGCATTGTGACTGCCACGAACGGCAAGACTGCCCTGGGATCAGTCACATACGCGGGTGCCTGGATTCTGCAGCTAAAGCAAGCTGCTGATGTGCATGCAAGAGAAAGTGCCCCTCGAGCGCTCCTGCTGCACACTCTCCAAAGGGGCGTCTCTGCTCGCGCCCAGAGAATTAGATGGATGCCAGACGGAAACGCGGGGTCGACTTTTCGTTCCCTACAATGAGGGTTGTGTTTCTGATGCAGTTCTCATCAAGTACAATTCATGGAGACAGCCCATGTAGGCTTGTTTCACCAGGTGCAATGTCAGGGTATAAACACAATTGCTCACATCCTGCGTACAGTACTGAGAAGAGAGATGTGGAATTATTTTTTTTAAAAATTTCCTCCTTACAACTTGTAAATGTTTTGGAGTAGGGCAAACAGAAAGGACAGAAAAATGGCATTGGGATCATGAATTGCCTGAACCCATGCCGGATATTCTGCTGGGCGTTAGCTGGCGATCCGTCCATCCCCTTCCCCCCCCCCCCCCCCCCCCCCCCCCCCCC